AGTCGCCCATGCAATAGAGGGTAATAAAAATGGTTTGGGGGCTGGGGGACATGACTTATGAGGAGAGGCTGAGGGATCTGGGCTTATTTACTTTAAAGAAGAGAAGACTGAGAGGGGACTTAATAGCAGCCTTCAACTACCTGAAGGAGGGTTGCAAAGAGGATGGAGCTGGACTGTTTTCAGTGGTGACAGATGACAGAGCAAGAAGCAATGGTCTCAAGTTGCAGAAAGAGAAGTTTAGGTTACATATTAGGAAGAAGTTTCTCACTAGGAGACTAGTAAAACACTGGAACAGGTTACACAGAGAGGAGGTGCAATCTCCATCCTTGGAGGTTTTTGAGACCCAGCTAGATAAAGCTTTGGCTGGGATGATCTAGTTGGGGCTGATCCTGCTTTGAGCAGGGGGTTGGACTAGATGTGACCTCCTGATGTCCCTCCCAACCCTAACTTTCTATGATTTCTATGATTTGGAAAAGGATGCCGCTCCCAACTTCACTGAAGAGTATTCTGAGCAAGGAAAAAAAATAGTTTCTGTTAAAGGGTTTCTTATTCTATCCTGTTGTGGCAGGTTAAATTACTGCCAATAACAGACAGATTTCTCATGGCTTTTTTGAGCCAAAGTTCTCAAATCCCTTTACAAGCATGAAGTCCCAGAGTATACACATGAACTCAAAAACTCCTATCACTCCATCTATGGGTAAATTGAGGCCCTGAGAGCTCAGGTGGCTTGTTTTGGGGCACTCAGTGCGTCATCAGAGGAACCTTGGTTTGCAATCTAGTGCTGTAACAACCACCAGATCCTACCTTTCCTTATTTAGCTTCCCTCTGCACTACAGCACAGCCTCCCTTGCTCATTGGACCTGTGGAAATCCCCCAGACATGGAGAGCTTCAGAGGTGTAGAAATTAACACATGTGAGTGAAATGGGTTGCAAAAACACAGCACACTATGGCCCTCCTTTAGTCTTTTTGTGAGCTTCCAATACTTGAGACTAAGCTCAGAGTGCTTGAGGTAACAAGGCTGCGTCCCCGGGGTCAAGGCTTCTTAAGACACTTCACAAGAACAGGACCACAAGAACACCTGGATCGCAATTTGTAGAACCGCAGGGCAGGAAAGGACCTCAAGGGTCATCTACAGATGACCTCTACACAGAGAAGGAAGGCACTGATCCTAAACCTTTGCAGAAAAATGCCTATGCAGCTGCTGGAAAGTCTCCAATGAAGGACATTCTCACAGGGCTTCCTGGACCAGTTAACAGCTAGGTTTCTTCTCCCCAGTGAAGCGATAGCTATTAAATGAACATCCAGTCCACATTTTTTTCCAGGAAGTCCACTGCTCCTTCAATGATCGATTCCCCTACAGGGGCCATTTCATGCAGGGGACTGGCTGCAAGCCCCAGTACTTTTTAAAGAGGATCGACCTCTCTGTCGAAATGCAAAGGAATGCTGGAGCTATTCCAGTTCTATTGGAGATAGGTCCTAATGGAAGAGACTGAGATTTCACACACCATTTCACATGTTTGACACATCGGGAATGTCGAGTGGGATGTTCATACTCACTGTCCTGCCAAGGAAGGCATAACAGGAGGAATGGGAGATTTACAGAGCAGCCTTCTGACTTCTCATATGAGAACAACACTGTATCTGCACCTCCAGGAA